GGAGCAGGGCTCTGCATCCTGCTTCGGAGACCAGACGCCCGAAAGGGTCGACTTTGCAGTCCCGTCGGGTCCCTTTCCAATGGCAGCTGAAAGGATAATAGATTTCCAGACAATGAACTTCGTTCATGTGAAGTTGAGGTTGCTAGGTGACATAAGAGTTACCAAAAATACATACCAAGAGCATTGCAGGGACCCTAATCATTCAAATGTATGGAAATGATCTGCTGAAGTAGCAGATGAGACTCTAAATACCCTTATGCTCTGCTTATAAAACTTGCAGTTGTGTTGTTAGCATCACCTCGACAATGTGCGTGCTCCCACGCAGGTGGAAAGCCAGACCTGCCCAAAACCTGCAATCCAGAAAGAAAACATGTACATGCAGGCAGGAGAGGGGGATGCTGTGGAGGATGAGCGGGTTTTGACAGTCTCCTGGGTTTCGTTCCATTTTTCAGGAGGGGAACGGTAAAAAAAAAAAAATATATGCCAGTGTCCAATTTGCTAATGCTTCCCGTTAAAATCGGCACCCGGTGTTTTCAAAACGGCCATTATTCTGACTCGCTCAGTCAACAGACTGTCCCTCGCTTCTCCAGATTGCCTTAGTATTTAAATCAAAGAGGCTCGGTCCGCTGTTGGCGGATCCAGCCCGCACATCCCTGACTATGATGGTGCGCCAAAGCACGTCGTCACTGGACGGTGGGGTGCCTGCCACAACCGCGCGCTCATCAAGCAGTGCTAACATTTCACTTATCATAGTATTTAGACACTGCGCAAACCACACCTGCTTTGTATCCACCAATGATGTGTAACTGAAACATGTATTCTCACACCTACACTGTAAAGTGTGTGACACCTCAAATTAAGCAACACTTGATTTATTCGTTCTCCATAGAAAAGCCTTGCAGTCATTTCACGTCGTCTTATTGTTCTAATTACAGCGTCTTCCTCTTGTACATCACCCAACAACCAAGCACGAAGTCGAAAGGATCAGAGTTCAGGTTGCTTATGGAAGATCAAATGTCACTTTTTTTCAGCGTCTTTTCTTTCTCGTTAGGCTCAGGATCGGTTCTGAATTGTCAAAACTAGTCATCGTGCAGTTGAATGCTTCGGCTTCCTTACCCAAAAATATGCTCGGTGTGCGTTTTTTGATTCTGGGTGTCGGTGAAAATGCTTAACCTGAAGTTAAGTGTTTTTGTTGAAGTTAAAAGTCATTCTGTATTGTCTGGGTGAAGGCCTTTAGTTTGAACTCGTTTTAAATTGGAGCTGCCACCCGCAGTCTCTGCTTCTTGTTCCTTCGGGACAATGAGTAGGGAGAGACCATTGGGGAAGAAGCTCTCTTGTCCTTATCCCTAAGCCGGGGAGCCTTGACTATATCCATTGTGCAAGATTGACTTGACAAGGTGGCCAACTGTGTGGACCTGTAAACCGGGCTCTGTTTTTTTGCTAGCTGCTCTCAGGGATAGTCTGTTGCTCAAAAACTTTGTAGTGCAGCATTGGTGGGGAGAATGAAACCCCAGTTCAGCAGGGCTGTTATCTTTCGACCTGTGCATCCAGCCCCTCAACTTCAGTGGAGTTGGCACCAGGAGAGGATGTGATCCCTTCCCATAATGGTGGACTAAAAAAAAAGTTGGGGGTGATACTGGGGCAGGTGAGGTGGCACCTGCTAAGTGTGGTGGAGAGAGCAGATGTGCGGTCTGCCTGGGGGCTTTTCCAGCCCCCTAGAAGTGTATGAGCACAGCATTTCCCCGAGAGGTAAGATCCTGCAGTTTCTTTGCTAGCATCGGGGCAGGGACTGACTCTACTGATACCTTGCATGGTGTTGAGCCCCGTCGTGCTTAACAAATTGGCCATGGAGACTCTGGGTTTGGTAGAAACACATTGGGAGCTGTCTCAGGACCCTTGAGAAACAGGGATGAGGTGGTGGATGCACTTTGCTCCCCTCTCTCCTCTCCTGCCCCAGCTATTTTCCTTCCTTCTAGCCAAGCACGTAGGCCATTCTTTCTTTTTGAGTCAGCCGATGGGATGCGGGGAAGCAAGTTTCCCAGGCGGTGGCTAAAAGTGCAGCCCGCAAAGGGGAGAAAGTGGAAGTCACGACTCTGGGAGTATAATGCAGCTGGCTGCAGCTCTGATTACAGGGTGGGGACCGGCTTCCACCTCCGGACCATTGTTTCAGGAGAAAGTGAGATGAGAGAGACAGTTTTCAGGTGGGTAGCTGATGCATAAAACCGAAACAGGCAGTCGGCATAGGCCGCTTCATACCACCTTGTGCTGGAGGAGGAAGCTGATTGCTGGACCAGAGACTCAGATAGCAACAGAGCCCAGGACTTGTTGGCTTCACGGCCTTCGTTCATCATATGACGGCTCCAAATCGGCCATCAGCATGCAGGTCAAACCAGTGTGGCAGCTCTTCTGGATCGAGTGGTTGTCTATGGGCCCTGAGGCCGGCGCTGCTGAGGGCAGTCACGAGCAGGACTAGGAAAGCCAGTGGATCTCCATGCGATCTCTTCTAGGCCTCCGGTGTAGCTGGGGTTGCTTGGGGGTGGTCTCCACAGAGGTGGGAAGGCCTGAGTGGGTTATGGAGGGTGAACTCTCAGCCTTCCCTGTGGATTCTCCAAGTTAGTGGGAAGTTGTGCGGGAGGCTTGTCGTGCCCATCGCTGCCTGGGATACCCGCCTCCCAAGGGTGCACCAAGGCTTTGGGTCCAAGGCAGCTAGTCTGGCAGTAGCATTAAACATGTTCATAGCAAGAGGCAAAGAGTATGGGTGGGTTCAGATGGCATCTTCTGCTCTTGGCACTCTGCATGTCCCGTCCTGCTCATAATCCCCGGATGAATGAGCTCCACTAAAAAAGGATGCTCAGATGAAGCAGCTGTGGTATCATCAGGACGGGAATGATCCCAGAGGGGGCTTGCCTTTCTATCTGCTCTGTACATTTCTGTCCTCTTTGATGTTCCTCGTGGTGATGCTCTGAACCAGGAAGGAGGGATGTGGGGGGAGAAGGACCTCGCTTCTCTGGTCTGCCCAGGGAGGGGCGTGCGAGTCCAGCTCCCCAGCACCGAACGGAGAGCCCTGCTTTCTCATTCTGAGCCAGCTAAGCCATTGCAAATTCAGAGCAGCTGCCTATTTATAGATATAATCTCCTCACCCAGATGCAGCCTAGGCCAAGCCTTAGTTTGGGGACAGTTTGCAATATGTACAGTCCCTCTGGCTGGGCTCCCTATCCAGAGAGGGGCGATATCCAAAGCCTCTTGTTAGAAACAAATTCAACTGGAGTTTGCATGCAGTGAACTGATCACACCCCAGAAGAGCTGCTCCAGGTACATGAAAAGTCTTGGCTACCTGCAGCCTCAAGCCTGCACTTCGAATGGAGAAGTAGTCTGATCTCTTTCCCATACGAAAAGCAAGGTTATGCTACATCCTTTACAGAAGCGGTGAGCTGATTCGGCACGCGGCGGTTTTCCTTGCAAGTCAGTACTGAGCCCAAGCGGTAGCATGGTGCTAGCAGACAGCACCGTCCTTCAGGCGGGAAGGGAAAAGTGAAGTTGTGCTAGAGCAGAAGTTAATTGTCTCCCTCAGATCAGGAGTCCAATGTGGCCGTTTACAGCCCCGCTCTGCAGACTCTGTGGATTCAATTTTCTTCTTTGCTTCACATCCTTAATTTTTGCATAGCATTGCTGTATGCTGCTAAGCGTCTGCTGCATTCCCCGAGACCTGGTAGCCTTTCCATGAGGGCCCCAGGGCCTCTGATGCTTGTACAGGGACCCTGAAGGGTGCACATGCCACAAATTAGGATCGTTAGTAAATCTGGGATGTTCAGATCACAAGTCGGGGCCAATGTGCCAGATACTTGAGACGTCCCCTCCCCTGGTTGCATGCAGTAGCCTTGCTGCCAGTAATCCCGAGCGGGTCTTCAAAATGCTTGCTGTGGACATGCTGGTACATGATGCTTCTTTTGTCTTTTTCTGTTTTACGCAGAGGGCTGCTGACCGCCTGTGCAGAAATCTTTGCCGTTTAAAGCTACCCAGCCTCTCGTGCCACAACGAACCCAAATGTTGATACGGGCTCTGACCTGCAGAGCGGTAAGTGATTGCGCGGGGCGGCGGCGTCCTGACAGTACCTACAGAGCGACGGCGCCTATCCCCATGATTACTCTGGTTTTCTGTACGGCATCATGATGCTGCTGAGTTCATTGGTGTGCCGACACTCATGTCGGGTGGAGGTTGTCCTGTTGGCATGGTCTTGTTGGCTCAAAACCGCAATGGAGGTTTAGGGGCATTGGTTATGGGGAGCCTGACCTCTGTAGAGCTGGTGTGTTCTGCAATTGCTTGGATGCCCATTTTCAACCTAAAGTTGGATCTCCCTGGGGTTTTGTTAGTTTGTAAATGCTGCAGTGTGCTGTGTGCATGCACAACATGTGTCAATGGGCACTGCTAAGTAAGACCGAGCAGTACACGTCCTCCATCTGATGGGCCTGTGGGTACTAGGGGACTGTGCCATGCTATGTAGGTGCTCTGGAGGCTTGGAGTAACCATCCATCCATGAGGATGCTGGAGTCTCTTCCTGCAGGTTGTCTGGTGGATGTTGTGACATAAGGTCCTCCTGATACCGGTTGTTGGAGCTGCCCTTGGCCCTCAGAATGGTTTTACAGGGTGGAGGAGGGGAAGAGAGGCACAATAGAGCCCAGTTGTGCCCAGCAGGCTCTGGAGATGCAGTTTCTTTCCAGTCCTGGATGAAACAACTATCTTGATTTTTTTTTTTTTTAATGTGGGGAGGATCTTGCTGCCCAATAGGCTGCAACTGTTCTGTCTGTACTCTATCCTATAGGAATAGGAAATGAAACTATGGTCATTTATCCCCGAATGAAACAACTGGTACAAAATTACTATAGTGTACTTAGTTTCTATTACGGGATAGAGCAAACAGACGTGCTGTATGTCTTTCCCTCCCCGACGCACACTTTTAATGCTGTCCATGTGCCGCTTCTGCATCTTTTTAGTGTAGCCCCCATGGGTGGTAGGCAACATCTCCACACCACCAGGCAACAGGCATCCAGCATGGTATTGTTGGCCCCTAACGTCTTGCCTTCTGCAGAAGGTGATGGCAGTCACCTGCAGATGTGAGGGTTTTGGGTAGGAAACCTCCAGACCTGGGTCTCAGGTAGAATTTCCCATCTGTGTCTCTTTCCCTCCAGGTATCAAAACCAAAACCTTGGATCCCAACAGCTCAACATGTTTAGCTCAGGGCCGTCTCAGCTGCCTGGCATCGTTTCCTCTTGACTCTTTCCTCTATCCTATAGGCAGCTTTAATCCGGCAGTGCTTGAGAGTCTGGGACCTCAAGTTTTATTCTGCTTAATAACTCAGAAACCTCTTACCCGCTGGCTTGTCTCTGATATGAAAGAAGGAGAGGTGATTTGACTGAAGAAATGACGCCAAGCTCACAGCTCTTAGACATTTTAAGCCTGGTAATCTCAGGTGTATCACTGGAGAGAACAGGACTAGTACTCCCTCTCCGTTTAAACCAGTGGGTCCATCTAAGAGGAGCTCAAATGAGGGATTGTTTTAAAGAGCAGCAGATAGGATCCCAGTGTGGAGCTGGAGCTGAGCAACGTTAATAGATTCAGCAAAACGGGCAGGTCCCACGGGATTTGGTCATTTCACAGGCCTCGCCACACATGTCAGGAGAGAGCAACATGTTGGTCCTCTCCCCCCACCCACCTCTTCCCTTGCTGGTGTGGACAGGGGGTTGTCCACCTCTGTTTTGACATTGTTGGGGTAGCAGGGCAGGTGCCCCAAAACTTCACATAAAAGCTTGACCACGACAATGGATCGAACACCTCCAGTAACCCTTCCTGTTTTGTGAAAAGTGTTTGCAGTCTTAGATAGCTGGAAATTTAAATATTTTATCTGATAGCCGTCACAAGATGCCGCGCTCCGCAGAACTCGCTTTGTTGGCAAAGCCCAGGGTCTCTGCACAGCCCCTCTCAATTCCCCGGGAAGTGAACCGGCAGGGTCTGAGACGTCAAACATCCCAACACTGTCCACTTTTCTTCCCACCCACGTGCCGTGTTCCCCATAGCTGCCGCGATTGCAATAGAGCACCGATCCATTCTCCATGCCCCTGGGAGATGTCTTCTACTTTCCCCACCTCTGAATGACCAAAATGATCCAGCTGTGATCGTTTAGTCTGGGTCCTGACTGGGGGAGGGAAGGTTTATCAGGCACTGTCCAGCTTTATTTCACCTGTAACAGCACTTTCCTGTCCTCGCTATCTGCTGCCACCATCGTAATTGGGACGGCCATAAGATTTTAGCTGGAACAGCTGTAGACGAGTATTTAAAAATGCATTTCTGCCCTGGATTGATGCTAACTGGAGCTGAAATGCATCGAGAAGCGAACCATCCTGGGAACTCCGTCGTTCCAGGCTCCCTCCGTCAAGGATGATCGCTCCAATCATTTTGTTCCAGGAGATTTCGGTCCAGAAGCCACCAGCACCCACTGCACATTAGGTAGGAGAAAAGCCAGCCAGAATCCAAAAGCATCTGACTCCTCTCCCGGCCTTGTTCCCCAAGGAGGGTCAGCTCCGTAGCTACAGGGCTGTCCTTGCAAATAGGGTCGATAAGCAGACTTTCCCCTGAAGTATTCTCTGGGATACTTCACAAACAGGGGCACCCCAGTCACTGCCCAGAAGGAAACTTCCTTCATCTGCACCTAGCCAAATCCAAAAGAGGATTTCACGGAGTGATAAACTGCATCCTGGGGTTGTGCTGAACAGGAACAGTGCTGGGGGCACAGGAGGGAGTGCGGGAGCCATGTGCCCAGCTCAGCATGTCCCAACCAGCATCTTCCCCAGCAGAGCTGGCGGGCTGCAGCCGTGCTGGGGTAGCAAGAGCGTGCTGCGATTCACTGCTGCCTCCCCCAATCTGTCTCTGAAATGGGCATCTGTCCTGCAGTCTGGCCTGTCAAGCTGTTCTTCTCTCCCATAAATCCTGCTAAATCAAACCCTCTGAAAGGACGGGCGTTTCCTGACTCGTGCTTCTCGGCAACGTGACGCTTGTGAGCCGTTGGTATTTAGACAGGAGGGCAGCCGGCTTCCTCCCGACCCCTCCTCGGGGCGCCCCATCACTCTCCCGGGCTCTGCCTGCTGTTCCTTTCCTCTTCCCCCTTCCCTTCCTTGCCTGCGCTCCTGCCATGCTCTGCCTGTTCCTTCTCCCCCCGGCTCTTTCTCATCTTTTCCTGCCCCTAATTTCTCCTCTCTCCCTGCCTCTCGTGTGCCTTCATTAAATCTAGTGTGAGGGGCAACCCATCATCCAGGAGGGATATTGGCTTCTCTGTGTCCGGCAGCCCCTCCTTCCATCACTGGCACCCAGGGGCGTGAAGGAGGAAGGGCCTTGTCGCAGGGTGAGGGGACATCACCGTTCATTGTTCCTTTACCCCTGCCACTGGGTTGAAATACAGTAACTCGGAGGAAGATTTAACTGGGTTGGTAGCTTTGATGTATTTTGTGTCAAGTAATAGGTGTGTTGTACCCCCAGACCTCTGCGCCTCTGGGATGATGGAGATACTGTGAGCTCTTTGGGGCAGGTGCAGCTCCTACTGCTGTGGTCTGACGACCGCCTGGGCACTCTTGCAGTACGAAGAAGCACTAGCATTAATATACAAGAGCTGTATTATTAACTGCGCAGCCCAGGCAGCCGGAGGAATGCAGGAGGGATTGATCCCGAGTGCATTTCTGCACGGGTCTTTTAAGGGGTCCTGGCCCAGCGCGCACCGAGCAGTGGGTAAAATCCAGTCGAGAGAAACTCTTGACTCAATGAGCCAGTGGACCAGTCTAATTCAGCAGGAGACAAAACGCTGGCCTGGATATCCAAGTAGCCTAATTAGTGCGGCAAATCCTGTGGACTTTGAACGGATTCCTTGGGAAACGCCTTCTAATTAGGTTGTTGCAGCATCCAGATCAGAGGCTCCTAGGGGGGCTGCCCTGGACACGGCGAGCAGGATCTGCCCCCATCGTGTGCTGGGCGGGTGGGTATCCAGCCGCAGCAGAACGGGGCCCGTCTGGCCCAAGTCAAGAAGGGATGAGTTGTTTCGTGTGACAGACCAGGCTCCTCTGCACACTAGTGGGTGGTGTCGTTAATCAGCCTGCTGATGGCCGGATAATTAGTGTGTGTTTTCCTGGTGTGGTCGCGGGATGCTTCATAATCAGCGGCGCTCCCTTGGCTGTGTGAGTGGAGGGGCAGGGCCCACCTCGTGCCAACATAGAGGACCTGCAGCACGTCACGCGTGTGGCAAGAGGCCTTTCCACAAACACAAACAGCATTTGCTGTGATACAACGTCTGGCGCTCGCCTGGAAAACCTCTAAAGCACCGCTGTTGGGTTAAATTAGGGCTTCCCAGGTGAGGGCTGTAGTGGCAGCATGAGGCTTCACCTAATAAGCATGATGCGCAGCTGACGG